CAGGGATCGTCGAGCCCAGGGCTGGCGTGGAAGCTGCACGGCTGGGTCGTTGGACCTGGGTTTGCCCGGCCCTGCCATGGTTTTTTGCAACGCTTCCCTGCGAGCTGCTTGTTAAACACTCGGGAAAGCCTGACACGGGAGCGACGCGGATTCTGCTCCCGAACCGTCTGCATAAAAGGAAATGGCAGCTGCAGCAACGTCACCCCCTGCCCCATCCTTCAAACCAGAGAGGAAGGGACTTTTAGGGAATATGGAACGCCCAGGGCGAGGGCCGAGGCTGGAGCAAACCCGCCCGGCTCATCAGCTGCTCCTGGTACGATACGAAACGCCTCTGTGTGTGCACGGGGAGGGGAGCTTCGCTGCAGCTTCGCCGCAGGGCAGCACGTTTGCAGCAGCTGGATGGGGAGGGAGCCCCACCGGCAGCCAGCTCACCTCAAATTGAGAGTGCCAACCCCTCAGCTTAGAAAAATATTTCTATTTCTACCTCTTTCCAGGCCAGTGTGGCCGCGCAGCCAGGACCCAGCGTAAGGAGATGCAGAGGCATCACCCAGGGCAGCGGCAGCCCCACTGCCGGCGCCGCGGCCGCTCCCCTTTGCTGCGGGAAGGCTGTGACATCGGGGTGCAGCGGTGGCCCTGCTGCTTCGCTGGGGGCATCGCCTTGTCCGCTAAAACCAGCCTCACCCACCTGCCAAACCGCATCTTCCCCCCCCAGTAACTCCGCTACAGTACCTGCCCACCCCCTCTGCGGACACCCAACCCCAGTGTGACACTGGGAAGCGCTGGGAGGGAGCCGTCCTCCTCCCGTCGGGAGCAAAGAACCGAGCCAGAGGCTCCTCCGGGGGATCCGCTCCTCCCCAATTTCTGCTCGGTGTGGGCTCCTCCGCCAGGCAGGCGAGGCGAGGGGCTCGGCCAGACCTCGTGTCTTCCCCCCCCCATCCCAATTGGGAGGGCACCCAGTGCCAGGCTGCCCCCGCCACGATCTGTCCAACGGAGGCTTCATGCTCAGGCATCTCCCATCACCAGCGAGGCTATAAATAAACCCTAAATAAACCCTCCGACGGTCGCTTGCGTTGCTCCAGATGTTGCCTGGCTTTTGCCATAGCAACCTCACAACAGGATGTAACATTGGGCCATAACGAGGACCGCTCCGCAAAGAACCAACTTCCAATCATAACAGGCACCAAAAAACCAAAAACAAACAAACAAAAAAAAACCCTCACGCAGGAACTCACCAGCAGCCACGGGGCCCCCCCCGGCCATTTCGCCGTCCTGGCTCCCGGTGCCTCGCTACCTCCTCCGTGCAGCTCCCGGGGTGCAAACCTGCAACCCACGACGGTGGGGACATCTCCGCCTTGGGGAAGCTGAGAGGAGCAGGGAGCGTCGCCTTGTCGGTCAGCTAAGGGAAGCGTGAATGGAAGGAGCTCCCAGGAAACACCTGACCCCAAACTGGCCCTGGCGGAGGGACAGGCTCCATCCCAAGGACCTCAGAAAGCAGCTACAGCGAGAAAGCTGTTGTCTCCCCGAACCGGAGCTCTGGCGTGCGGGAGCCCCTGGACCTCCCAGCTCAGCCCAGGCTTTCCAGCTCTGCTGGGGCTCGGCGCTGGGGAAAGTTAACCCCGGGGTGTAAAAGCTGTACACACACGTGCACGCTCGCTCCCACTGCTCTCCCTGGCGTTGTCATCACGTAAGCATGTCCGGGCAGCTCTCGGAAGGCCCTGACACAAAGCCAAGCGCTCCGTGCCGGGGCGACTCAGCCCGGGGTCTCTGTCCTGGATCAGGGGCGCGTCGGGTGCCGGTTCCAGCGCCGGTGCTGCGGCTCCGGCAGTGGGTACCTG